GGATGAACTCGAGCATAAAGTTGCAAAAATGAAGGTGTTGGCAGTTGGCTAGGCGAGTTAGAAGTCGTAAAGAAGAAATCATGAGCAAGTTTAGAGGCAAGCTAGATATCGCAAGTGCGTAAGACTAAGATAGGCGAGTTTGACTAAACTAGTTTCTTGAATTCGTGTTCATTGTATGTGACATTGTAAATAACCTTCAAGTCACGTGAGAGGTAGCATATACCAAGCGTGGGTTGTGAAATTGGACACAATAGTGTTTTATGCTAAAATAAGGTAGTGTAAGTGTTTATAAATGTATAAACGCTCAGTACAATGTGTCATAGTGTGTGTGGGTGTTAATTCAGGTGAGTTCAGAGATATACAATCAAGTGAGTTTTATGCGATTTAAAGTGAGACACGTGTCTAATATGCAAGTTCTCAATATTTAAATAGTGTTATGCATGTTATGTGTTTCACATGTTTTAAACTATGAACATGTTAAAAAATATTGATTATGACATGAACAATACGTTATGCATCTAACCGGTATTTTGAATATGTGTGGGGTTCACATGTCAGGATGCTAATAATTACGACAATGAGTGGTAGGGTGAGGTGCTCACGAGGAGATAGTCGATAATTGTTGGACTAGCCAATCACAATGGTGCCGTAAGAATATTTGATGACTCCCACTATAGTGTACAAAACGAGATATTATTTCCACAAACTTGTTATTATGCATAATTGTTTTTTATCGCTAGGCGTTTTCAAATGATTTTATGTATGGAATATATGTGGTGATTTGTGAAAAAAAAAATGGCATCTTGGATACCATAATTAAAGAGGTGTTTGGGATTGCTTATTTGAAACAACTTATTCTTTTTTACAAAAGCACTTATCAACTTATTATAAGTCAAAAAAGGTATAACTTCTTTAAAAACTTCTTATTACCGGTTTGGCACCTGTATAAGTTATTTATTCAAACACTCAAAAATGCTTATTACCGGTGTCACATCGAAATAAATCAATAATTTGTTTTTATAAGCAATCTCAAACATCCCCTAAATGTTGTGTTTAAAATAGAGATATATGAAGAAAAAAAACATAAATTTATTAAAATTAATAGTTAATAGAGGACATGTATCTTAAAAAGAAGACAACTCAAAATATAATAAGGACAACAAAAAGAAATTATAAATTTATTGGAATGTTTAATATTATTTGGATATTATGTTATATATGGTGTTAGTGGTCATTTATTAAAAACTTATTTCATATGTGTCTACCGGTAAAATTGAACAATATTACTTACTTACTGGGTAAGATTTTAATTCATTAAAACGGCATCGTATGTAACAATTTACCCAATAAACTTTTACCATAGTAAGAGTCATCGTTCTCACTTACCGGATAAAACTCTTGGTCCTTGACTCATTCTTACCGGGTAGATTCTTAGTCCTTGTCATATTCATCCGGTAAGGTAATGTGACTTGTTAACTACTTACCCGGATAAATGTTTGAAAAACGGCTCCTTAGACTTGGTGGATGTTTGATTAGAAGTATTGAGTAGTAATTAATAGAATTGAAAATAAAAGAAATTGTTTAATTTTATATAATATAATGACTTTATTCCTTCACGAGCCCAAACTTTTATTCCGAATTAAGTTAGGAGGAAGGGATAAAAATCCATTCCATGTCATTTTAATTTTCTTTCTATTAATTAGAGACGCGGACAGCCTGTCAAAGCTTCTCTAGCTAAGAGCTGCTTCTAGACTGAGAGCTCATAGTCACTTAATGTAATTAAATGCTTTGAGATAAGTTAATGATATCATTAACATATAAGATTTGTAGAATTGACATTCTTATTAAGATTATTCAATTGTTACACAAATATATTTAAGTTTAAAACTAATATCAGTATATTTTTTTAAAAGATAATTTGGTGATGATATCAAAAGATAGAATAAGTGTTACAAGTATAAAAATTATTTAGTTTCAATTTTATAAAATAATAAAATGTATTTATACTTTTGGTGAATACAAATTTAACTTTCAAAATTAAATTTGAACAATTATCATAGAGTATTAAAAGGGTACTTGCACAATATAACAAAATACATCTTAATTTTAATGTTTCATTTTATTTTTTGTATCTGTCGATATGATACGGTTTTATGTGGTTTTCAGAAAGCAATGATATTTTTATTTTTGAATAAAATATAAATTTAAAAATATCATAAAAAATTTAAAAAAAAAAACTATATATCGATATTATATCAAATTAACTATTTAAAAGTTTTTGTTTTTTTTTTTTGCGTAATTTATTTAATTTAATTTTATATTATAATTTAATTTATGTTTGATAATAAAGTGATTTATTCTTTGTTTAATAATAATTTTTTTAATAAAGATAATAGTTATGTATTCTATTAGAACTCAATGATTATTCTAATTATATTTTAGATTTTTTATATTTAGAATGAGATGTTTATTCTGTATTTGATTATGTTTATCTACAGTTAGTTACACGAATTCAAACATGTCGTTTTAATAAGTTGTATTTAAGGACAATCTACTTGTAATCTTGAATTTTAAATAATGTATACCAATAAACAGTACTTTATATATAAAAAATAATTTTTAAGAATTTTTATCAAATACTTTATAATATAGTATAAATTATAATTTAATAAGAAATTTGAAATAACCACACATGATTCAAGCCATACCAATACCATATTCTAATTTTATTCTTATTTATTCACCTAAAACAATGTTTCTTTATAATCATAGTTGTTCAGATCTTTATACATTTTTAAATAATCATATAAGTTCCTGAAGTTAAAAGTTGGACAAACATTCAGTGTCCTGAGGAGATTCAAACCAACCTTAAAAAGATTCGAACTGATGACCAATGAGGAACAAACCTAAGGTCTGACCACTATCTAAACTACCCTCAAAGAGTAATAATATTATTCGTCCCTATCAAACATATTACAAATTTATTTGAACATAATATACACTTATGGTTTAGCATGAAAAATAAGTTTAGACCAAATAACACACCTAGCGACTCGTACAATGTTTTAAAGAAGTTTTGTAGCTTGTCTTTTGGCTGGATTTCTACATGATCCAAGATCCAGTTTGAGTCCCAACGATCAAACGAAAATGCATTAGGAAAAACACATTTATTACTTGTTGATGTGGAAAATCTCTAAATCCGGTAAAAATCTCGAGCAACCTTGAGTCACCGCTCCACCAGTCGTCCAAAGAGGTAGGCGTCAAAGTAGATGAGAAAGTCTTACCCACTACACTTGAAAACATTCTTTCTTTTCAAGAGCAAACTCTATAAAAACATGGACCACTCATTATTTTTTTGCTTATTCTACGAAAAAAAAAATACAATTTAACATATTTTTTCGTCAATAATATTTAATAACACCAATTATTAATTTAAATGTTTTCAAAACAATAATTGAACTTTTGGCATTCTTCGAAATAACTCCAGAAGATATACTTGTTATAAAAAATTCAACTTCAGAAGAATCTTTTTTTTTTCAAAAATGTTGAACATTATTTATTAAATATCTAAAATATATTCCAAATAAATATATTCTATATATAGCTTATTTACATTGAAGAATATTTGTGCTTATATTTATCATTTTAATTCAATTCAGTTGTTTATTCATGCATGTTAATAACATGTTTAAATGAATATTCCTATTCCTATAGACCGACAATAAAAGGATGAAGATATGTGACGGTTCATTTCGTTTCCTCCTATATTCTCGATTACATTCCTTTGTCATTTCATTCTATTACGTTCAACCGAACAAACTATGAACAAAGAGTACATTAAGTCATTTGCAGTGGTCAAAACCATAACGTTACAAGCTTAATGCACTTTTAATAGAATTTGAAACACTACAACCATTATGTGACAAACCCTCTAACGTTACCTTATCGAGGCTTCAATTTTTTGATAAAGAACTTGTTTTTAATATAATGGAGTTATAACAAGAAATGAAGCATATACTCAACAGTTGAATGTTGGAAAATCTAGTGAAAGTATATGTTACCAGAGAGCATCTTAATTGTATGATAGATATATCTATATTAGAGTAACTTTTTACTCACTTCATTGGTCTTTTTCTTTATTTCTTGTGGTCAAATTGGCTTTAAATTATTTATTTTATGACTAAAATGTTAGAAATCCTGGTTTTCGATTGCTTGGATTCCATTGAAAGTTGTGTAACACTTTCAAATTGAAGTATTTCGATGGTACAATCGAAATTTCAATCGGATAAAATTCAGTGTTTTCGAACAGAGAATTGAAAAATGTTATGAATCTGTGTACCTTTTTCCAAATCAAAATGACCAATTCGAAATTGAATTCGAAAACTGTCAAATGTCAAAAGTACCAGGAGGTCTCAGGTTCAAATCCGGTAATCCAACATTTATAGAGTTTAAAGATTTCAAAAAATAACCACAAGGGTGGTGCCTGATTGGTTTGAGCTTGACTCCAAAGGTCAAAAGTACCAGGAGGTCTCAAGTTCAAATCCAAGGAGAAATAAAAATCTTCTTATGGCCACGGAGGTTCAAATGCGGTGACTCCATACTATCTGCAAAGCAGGTGGTCGCCCTGTAATTAATCGGCTTTCATAGCGGGTTGGATATCCGGTTAATAAAAAAAGATTTCAAAAAATAAGATGTATGTATAAGTTTCATTTACAATATATAATTATTATATATTTTAAGAAAGTATAGTAATAAAGAAGTAAATAACTAGAGGTAAGAGTTTAAAAGTATGAAAAGGTTAGTGAGATTGGTTAGGCCTTAGGGTTGTTACTTGTTAAAGAAAGTTGGGAAAGATGACTCAACCGTGAAAAACTAAACTATTGCGACCAGATTTGAAATAAAACAAAAGTACAAGGACTAAAGTGATATTTTAGTCTTCTTACTTTTGTTCCATACAGATCTATATATACACACATACAGACGTTATTGCTTTCTTTTTGCAAATTCTAGAGAGAGAGAGGAGAGAAAGTCCAAGTCAATGGAGACGAATCTCTGTTATACCAGAAATGATATCAAAATCGAACCCTACCTTTCTTGTTTTGAATGGTGAATCCGATTGGTTTTTCATTTTTGGTTAGTGAAATCATCGATTTTTTGGGGATTTAGAAATAATTTTTGTTACTTTTTCCTTGTGATCCGATCTCCGATCTGTGGATATTTGATCGGAAAAAGGAGAGGGGAAAATGCCGTCGCACACGGATGTAGATCGGCAGATAGAGCAATTGATGGAGTGCAAACCGTTGACGGAATCGGAGGTGAAAACGCTTTGCGATCAAGCTAGGGCCATACTTGTAGAGGAATGGAATGTGCAGCCGGTGAAGTGTCCCGTTACGGTTTGCGGTGATATACATGGTCAGTTTTACGACCTGATCGAGCTGTTCCGGATAGGGGGCAATCCGCCCGATACCAATTATCTCTTCATGGGTGATTACGTTGGTGAGATTTTAAGTTTCGTATTTTGTGCTTCATGATTTTTTTTTTTTTTTTGTCTTAGCGAGGTGTTGGAAATTTAGGGCTTAATGACCTTTCTTTTGGGTGCCCGGGGGGGAGGGGGGCGGATATTTCATGGTGATTAACTTTATGATCGCTCATAAGGATCGAATTCACTTTCTCAGATGATGGGGATCTATGAAATATTGGCATTTGTTCCTATTATTGTACATTTGTAGATCTGTACCAGTAGTGTTGCAGTTTTCCATAAAACCTAACAGGGCCTGCAACAGATGAGATAGATATATTGAGATTGCTATATATTTACCTTGTAACTCTATTATTTCTTTGTGCATTAGTGGTATTAAAGCACATCAATGCATGAATTTACAGGGGGAAATGAAGATAGTTTCTTTAGTGAAACAATAAACAGAACTTCATCATTTTTCATAATTTCTTAACATTTGGCCTATGGGATTGCAAAATCTAGGTGATAGAAATATATTTATGTTAGCCATCAATGGTTAGTCGTAAAATGCGACCGCTTTGATTGTGAAACATGGAGTAATTGTCAAGGAGTGACCTATTTATTGTCGACCGAGTTCAATATCTGATTAAATTGCATTCTTTAATTGGTTAGAAATGTGTACACAAATGGTAGCTAATGTATGCCTTCAAGAGACATGTTTAATTTATCAGAGATGAACTTAGTAATTGCTTAAACTACTTGGTTGAACGTAGGAAGGTTACTAGAGTATTTGCCGAATAGTTGTAGCTTATTCAAGTTTGTTTCTTATGAATGCCTAACTCCTCATTGTGCCAGTGCATGTAAATCCTTTGGTGTTGTTAGAAGCGGATACGATTTCCATGCACAATAGCAGATGATTTGCATGGAATCATGTGAGGATTTCTTGCTTACAGATAATCTGGAGCATGCAATTCACTTAACTAGTTCCACTTGTTTTGTCAACTTGATTAGGTTACACATCATTGTAGCCGTACCTGTTCTCTTCAATGTTAAGTGTATATTTGGAAATACAGAGCTTCATGATCAGCTAATAAACATTGGGTATATCATCATGAGCATGAAAGTTAAAGCATGTATACTCATGAAGTAGGAATTTTGCGATTGTGACATTGGCCGGAAATGATTTATCGGTTAGGTTGTTGGGAAGTAAGAAGCTGAGGAATTGGGGTTTCTGCAATCTAGATGTCTTAAGACAATTTTGGCTATGTTTGCCAAACTAGCTGATAAGGTAGCTGATGCCTTAAAGCTGTTTGGCAAAAACTAGCTTATAAGCTAGTTGAGAAATGTAAAATAATCAAAAAAGCATGTTACAGAATTAGTCAATTTTAACATTATATATTATAATTAAAACATATTACTATTCATATTATATGTTAATTAATACAAACCAGGTGGTAAAGAAAATTAAATAATATAATATGTTTAGAACTTATATTTGATTTAATAATTATATATATATAGAGAGAGAGTGTGTGTGTGTGTTTCAAATACAAACCATGATCACTTATATTAGGAAACAAGTGAGATATTTATGGAAGGTGATCAGGTTCATTTATTATGATCGAGATATTTATGGAAGAGGATAGGGTTTATTCATTATGATCCTTGCTTTAGATTAGGAACAGTCAAGATATTTATAGAAACAAATATTCTTCAGGCTAGATGGACGATTAAGATTGATTTGTAAAGATTTTCATGGTTGGTATTTGAAACTATATATACATATATAATTGATGATTTTAAAACAGTTACACATAATATGAATAAAATCTAAGTTTACCATACACATCTTAATTAATTAATAATCTTCTTCAAAAACTAATAATTACTATATAACTTACAACAAACATTTTCAGAATTGTTAGATTTGGTTTTTGTCCGACAGTCCCTTTTGATAGTAGTAATATTAAAATAATTAATATGATTAATAATAAATCAAAATAATTATTAATCAATATTAAAATATAATATTAATTAATAAATTACAATTAATAGTGATTAATAACAATCATCTGGGAGGTCGGGGTATTCAATCCCATGATACTCAAGGACCATCCTATCTGCGAAGTGTAAGGTCTCGTCTCTATTTGAATAAGCCATTCCATCCTTCCATATTTAAGTTGAACCTCTCCCTCTCCTTACAGTCGAGTGGCTTTGTATTAATAAGAATGAGGGGCATAATTGGAAGAAAATGGCAAAAGGCTCCAGGTTGAAACACTACTCTAGCTTATGGCCATCCAAAACAAGGCTTTTTTAATAAGCTTGAAAAATAAGTTAGCTTATGGTTGCCAAACATGGTCTTTGTGGTAAGCCTTGAATGCAGACGGTTTAAAAACGATCTAATGTATAGTTCAATATAGAAGTCTAAGAAGCAATAAACCTGCTACGGGAATAATGCTTCATCGGCCAAATAGGCCGAAACTAGTTTGAACAAAGATGGTGAAAAAAAATTATATATTGTGGTTGTGTGACATTGCTTTGCAAGTAGTGTTATAGTCCTATATGGTACATGATCTTGTGAAATGGCAACTGTGTCTTCTTGGATCAGGCAGAAACGGTAGGAGTCCATACTCTTAGCAGTTCTTAGTGACCTACAAATTGGTAAGAGTAAGTTTCTAATCAATTAATCTTTAATGATTTTAATCCATTTGGTAGGCCTTGTGAAGGTGTTCAGTATGTTTTATTATCTCTGTTAGCTATTCCTTAATAATTATGTATCAATCCATTCTCATTATTATAGATGGTGCTGCCGACTTTACAATGGTAAATGTAAAAACATGTTTTCAAGTTCCCTTTTTCAGATATTTTTATAAATTTATTGTGCCATACCACCTTGACCAATTGAATATTTTGTTCAGGACAGTTCTAATTAGATTGTTAATGCAGATCGTGGGTATTATTCAGTGGAGACTGTCACACTCTTAGTGGCTCTAAAAGTGCGTTATAGAGATAGACTTACAATTCTTCGAGGAAATCATGAGAGCCGGCAGATCACTCAAGTGTAAGACCTTTACTTTTCATGTAAGAACAGAAATGTTTTGCTGCCCATCCTTGTAAAGTTCAGAATGGGAGATTTTATTCCTTTCCTGGACTGTTGTTTGGATAATGGTAATGTCTTTGTTGTGCCTAGAGGATATACTGATGTACATTAAGGAAGTATAGCATAACTGCACCTCACTTAGTCTCGATGCTTGCATGCATTATCTGGTTGGTAGATCCAACATCTTTTTGCATATTCCTCTGAGTGCTATGCTATCTGCGTTGCATGATTGTCAATTTCCCCTTCAGATAAACTTCTCATGGAAGGTAATAGAGGGGTTTTGCTAGGATCATTTTGTTATTGGATTTGATATGCGTATTGAGGATTGGCATGAAGCTCTATCACCAATCCAGGCGTTGTGATAAGATGCAAGTGCGCAGATTAAAGTGTTGAAACTTCTTAGAGTTTCGTGTCAGCTGTTTTCTTAGAGTAGCAATCCCTTTTACATGATTTCATGCATAATGGTGGAGCTTTCTCACTTTACCATTGTATTTGTGAATGTGGTATTCTAATGCTATGATCCAGTACAATGAAATTTCTCTAACCCTAAGAGTATTACCGAGAAAACCAGTGCCTAAAGCATCCACAACCTAGAGGTAAGTACTTTCACAACGCAAGAAGCTAAGTCTGAAGATTTCTCTACTGCTACAACTTACAAGTCCCACTTCCATGCATGATAGAAAAACAAAAGTGACAACTTCTACAGTTCATGAAATTTCTTCTTTTTGCATCAATTATCTGAACCATGAGTTGCTTCTCCATTGTCAGCAATCAGGGTATTCTATTGCCAGAGACTCCTGATTGAGTTGCACTATATGAATGGCCATAGATTGGCTACTCAATTTGGTATAGACATTGGTAAATCTAAAACTTTCGGTTACCGAAAATATAACATGAAACAATTTAGCATAGAAATTCTGTGTAGATTCTGTTGAGATGTCAAAGGTTGTGGCCTTCACTAATTTTAAGGGATATGGTTGACATTTGGCTTTTAAACATTTTCTCTATGACCTCTGTTGGCATGAATCATCATATGTGTCTCTTTCTCCCCCATGTCTTTATTTGCCTCTCCATACATTTTCTATGTTTGTTGAGTGCATGATGCTTTCTTGCACTGGACATTGTCTTCTCTTGTAATCATCGAGATACTGTTCTGAGACCTTGATACTTTCTGGTGAAATCTCTATCACTGAGGAATGAGGTCAGCAATTGCCCCTTATGATCTCACAAATCTTGTTGTGTTTGTGTTCAAACTTAGCACCAACAAGACTAACACAGTTCAGAAATATTACTGGTTTTCCTTACCATAATAGAATAGAGACACTAAATATGGGATGAGGGTGTTGTAATAGTTTTTTAGGGGTTGTTGGTCAGGGAAAGAGGGGGGGAGGGGGAGGAGGATCTGGCAACCCTATTTACCTGATACTACATGTTTAGCAAATACAGCATCCTGTGTCTAATTTCTACTAAACATTTCTTGAAGACCCCTTCAGTTTTCTTGCATATATTATTATAATCTGCAGGGGAAGGAGCTGGTCTCTTTCCCTGTTACTTATGTTCCCCCTCTTATGTTACTCGTATATCTTGTTGGTCAACTCAGATATGGATTCTATGATGAATGCTTGAGAAAGTATGGAAATGCAAATGTTTGGAAGCATTTTACCGACCTTTTCGATTACCTACCTCTTACAGCACTTATTGAAAGCCAGGTTAGAATTACTCATGCATGTTTATCACTGCCATTCATCTTATGGCCCATATTTAATAGTTTTGTTGTCTCGTAGATCTTTTGCTTGCACGGAGGACTTTCACCATCTTTGGATACACTAGATAATATCCGAGCATTGGACCGCATTCAGGAGGTACTTGAAATATCTTGCTCAGAATATTTTATGCTTTGGAAGGTGATGTATATTTTAATGCGAACAATGACTGCAAAATCAACCATCACTCTTAACTTACAAACAAACACTTGATAGTTTTTTGTTATCTTCTTACTGGAGAAAGCCTTTAATTGTGTGTTCATACGTTTGAAGCTTTCTATTGTATTCAGTTACTCCCTAACTGAAGAAAAAATAAGTAGCTGCAAAAGCTGGTTCATTCCATTTGAAACAAGGACACTGTGACATCAGTTTTTTGTAATCAACATAATCATGAACCCGCTTTCAATTGTTGAAAATCCTTGGGAACATATTTATTCCGTCTATAGCTCCTCTTTTGTTGGACCAGAAAGTTCTTTCATTTCCTTTGCATTTGTTTATTAATGTTGCATTTAGTGGTCATTGTTTTTTTCTGGTACAAGTTGTAAAATGGATGCTGATATACTTGTTAAATGAAGTAACTAAAAGTCCAATGATCTGCTTTTATGTTAAGGTTAATGCGGGCGCTACCGTAAGCTTCTTAGGGCCGTGGTATTTCATTAGTTGTGCAGAAAATGCTGATCTGGATGTACTGACTCTGGTGACTTTGTAGGTCCCACATGAAGGACCAATGTGCGATCTCTTGTGGTCTGATCCAGATGACAGATGTGGGTGGGGAATTTCTCCTCGAGGAGCTGGCTATACATTTGGACAAGATATAGCGTCTCAGTTTAACCATACGAATGGGCTCTCTCTCATCTCAAGAGCCCATCAGCTTGTCATGGACGGTTACAACTGGTGCCAGGTTAGTGAGAATGGCTCTCAGTGATCTCCAACTAAATTTCATGTTTGCATTGGCTTCATTGATATAAGAGCTCAAAGGTAAAAAGATTGCACTTTCCTTCTGGGTTCACATCAAAAATATAATTTTTGTTTATAAGATCAGAAGCCATAGAATGACGTGCAATTTACGTATCAATTACATCATCCTGCTGTTGATCATGCCAACGCTACTAGAATCCACAATCATTTACTCCATCCCAAAATAAGTGTCCATATTTTTATTTATCCCAAAATAAGTGTCCAATTATACCCTTAACTATGGGATGGAGAAATTCATTACTCCCACTATTAATAAGGGTAAAATTGTCATTTAGTTAATTAAAAGGTGCAATATTTCTAAAACTGTATGGATCATGCACATACTTGGTTGCACCTTGATAAAGTTTATGTGATTACTATCTTTGTATTTACCGATGGATTTCACATGTTTGTATCGAGGTACATGGTTTATTTGGTTACTCTACTTGCATACCTAGCTAAATATCCCTGATGGTTGGTTGATTTGAATATCTGATAGCAACATCATTTATGACCTACGTGTTTGGCACTTAATATTCTTTCTTTCTTTTTACATGTTAAAATACCACTTTCTTATTCGGTTATAGTGGAATAAAGTTATCATGAAAGGAGGTTGATTTGGTTTTTGTATGTATATTCAGGAAAAGAATGTGGTGACTGTATTCAGTGCTCCAAACTACTGTTATCGGTGTGGAAACATGGCTGCGATTCTGGAAATAGGAGAGAACATGGAACAAAACTTTCTTCAATTTGATCCGGCACCAAGGCAGATTGAACCGGATACTACCCGCAAGACTCCAGATTATTTTTTGTAATCTTATTATTATTATATTATATACCCTAATTAAATCCAAATGGAAGTGGAAGCTGTTTGTAATCCTTTTTTGTAGATGGATGGATGGATGGATGGGGTTTTGAAAAGAAAAGAAAAAGAGAGGAGTTTTGTTGTTTGTTCTATCTTAACATATGTCAATCTATTCTTTCGTTTTTGGGGGATTTTGGAGTTTGTATTGCTGCTGCTGCTGTTGTGAAGTGAAGTGAAGTGAAGTGATGACAGCCAGCAGGCAGCAATTAGGTGTTGTGTTCATGTAATTTTCACTTAGAAACCAGATTGATTTTTGTAAAAGGATTTTGGATGGATAATCGGGTTGTAGTTATTGTTATTAACATATTCCACCAATCAGTCGTAATCTTTTTCTTCTACTTAACGCTTATAGTTGTTGTTCTGCTTTGACCCGAAAAAGAAACGAAATTAGATGAAAAACACTTATTCATCTTTGACAAATTTTATTAGCAAAATAAGTTGTGGTACTCATGCAATGGAGAGAAGCAATGGAGTGCAATAACCTCAAATCTAAAGGACTATAATAAATTGGTCATGTTATGTTATGGTTTATGGAATTAAAAATGGTTGATTGTAACATTTGTTAATTAAATGGTTATTGAAACTGAATATTTAATAATTTTCAGTAACTATTGATAAATGTTATTGAGGCACTCTTCTCTCTCGTCTAATTTTGGTTACGGTTTCATGGCAACCCCCTTATTTATGGATATGTTGCATTGATTTTGATAACAAAAACCATGTTGACATAAATGTCCTATTATCTTTATATCAATCTTTTTAATTTTACAAAAACATAGAAACACTTTTATTGTTGTTAATTACATGTGATACCCTGATACTATAGTCTATCACATTTGATACATATGGTATCAATTAAAGACGAGGATGACCATTGGATAAAAGCAATAGTTAGTTATTAAATATAACTAAAAAAAAAAAAATAAAAAGATATGTAATAAAAATAGGATTCTAATCGATGAATCCTGAAAGAAAACACGCCCAGAAAGGAAACTAGATGGTTCGACCAAAAGCAATTCTTACTTTAACTAAACAGTTATGAAGGACTTAACAATTTCAAGTCGAATTGACTAATACGGTATATTTTCCACGTTCATAGGAGTGCATCTATGTTTCTGCTTTACGAATATGATATTTTTTGGGCATTTCTAATAATATCAAAATATATATATATATATATATATATATATATATATATATATATGTGTGTGTGTATGTGTAAGTCTCTAATTTAATTTTATTTTTATTTAATCTTATTATCGTGAGCAATTAGATTCCATCTTTCTCTTATCGAGTGTAACCTAATGTCTTCAAACTTCAAAGTCATCAATGAAATTCAATACTTAAATTCTAATTTATTTACTTTTACAAACCAATCAATTTTATTATATAAAAAAATACTAAATAAATACAAAAGAGCCAGAGCTTTCTTAACAGTCAGCACTACCAGACCGTCTCTAAGAGGCACAATTTACCTCCATTCTGATATCCATCGGTATCTTGCCATGAATACACTTCTTTGATTGTTCCATTTTTTACATTACGGACCCGATAACCGTCTACCGATAAAATTCAACAATACCACCTATTTATCCGATAAGATTTTAGTCAACAAAAACGGCATCTTATGCAACAATTTACCCAGTAAGCACTAACTGTGACAAGAGTCGTCGTCCTCAATTACCGGGTAAGATCTTAGTTTTTGCCATATTCATCCAGTAAAATAATGTGATTTGATAAACATTTACCTCGGTAAGCGTTTGGTAAACGGCCCCTTACATTCATAAAATTTGTCCAAAACCGCCCTCGTTTTTGTAACTTTTCATACTTACATGTTAATGGCAAAATACAACGAATATTCGGTTTAGTATAACGTGGATGTAAGAAAATTTCCTAGTTTTTACCCATTTTGATCTTAAACCTACCGATCTTGTACCATTTAATAACGTCGATGTCAAGTCTATCATCTACTATGCTTTAACCTTTTAATAATCCACGTCGTCAAATCTTACAAGATCAGCAATTTTATGGTCAAAACAGGTACAAAATCAAAACCTTGTTACGTCGATTAAGAAAAAGAAATTATTCGCCAAATTAAATAGAAACTAAACCAAACTGTGTTGCATTTTAATGTATTTCGACCCGATAGAAACAAAGGTTAGTTTGGTTCAAAAGAATCAATCAATCAATGTATCAAGTATGAATATATCACAAAGATGGATCCCATGGCAAGACCCCATTAGAAACGTCAACCAGATTGGCTAAAACAAAGTCTCTTAAGCCAGTATCCCATACCTCACAGAACTGCAGTCTCCAATCAGCTGGTTCAATGGCTTCTGTACCCAACCCAGGTGCTCGATCTCTCGAACCTTCATTCTGGTTATCCCTCCAATCAGCCACATAAGTCGCAACCCTTCTGTAAAACTTAGCCCTAAAAGCCTCCCACGCTTGATACTTGTAGTGATTAATCACTGCAACACTCTGAGGTAAATCTACATAACTGAACCCTTTCCTTAAATGAAAATGGTGCACTACGTTCATTAGGGTCGAGTCGAGCGCGTCGGGCCGAATGATCGACTTGTGCCGTTCCGGGCTCTGTAATCTGCACGTGTACCCAACCGTAACTCCTTGTTTCGGGCGTGAACTTAAACCGGAAGGTCCAAAGCTACGGCACGCGGTTCGGATCTCTCCGATTGATGACGAGGATGTGAAGTTTGAGACCAGGGCTCGGAGTGAACCCTGGCCGGGAAAGGGGATTAAGGTTGGGCGAGGGCGGGTAAGATCGGGATAAGGGAAGTAATAGAATTCGTCGACGTCCATGAAAGAAACCCAATTGCATTCGGGTCTAGCTTTCATAGCACAATGTGAGAAACCGGCCTCTTGAGTTTTGATCCATGGCCAAACGTGTCGGGTTACATTATAGCCCGCGAGATTGAGATTCTTGATCACAGATTTGATATCGTCATCGCTGTTGTTATCATAAATGAACCATCTCGAGACGCCGAGCCAAGAATGGTAGGTTATCCATTCACGAATCGTGTCAGCTTGGTTCCAGAGCATCGTGCAAACGCAAAGCTCGTGCTTGTGGGTTTTCATGTCCGATTCCAGAGTGGAAATCTTAGCCACAGATGGAACGAGAACACGATGAGCCCGGCCGTGAACACGAGGCATTCGAAAACTAACCGTAGCTCGAACACCACGAGCTTTATGAGGGTGCATAAGGATGCTTCTCGGCAACACACACCGAACCACTTCTTGAGCTGCAGTCAGAGCTTTAGAGATAAGCATATACTTCGAATCCGTTTCCCAGTCGCCTAATCCGAAATGGCAACTGAATTGAGTCTGGTCTGATTCTTTATCCTGCCGGTGACTGATCCCTTTAACGAACACAACGGCAATGTTCCCGTCGAGCATCGCCTCATATGCTAAATTCTCCCATGAATTTGAGGGTTTATCTTCCCCCTTATCGATCATCAAGCCCCGTCGCTGTAGTGTGATAACGGATGAGAAGTTCACCGGAGGGAGCGGACAACGAACGAGCAAACGGTTGCCGCTGTATTCATCCACCGAAAATACGCCCTTCCTCACCATAACACCATCATCACCGAGATCCGGATAGGAATTCGATTTGTTACTTGTGTAAACACATTCCAAATTATTTCCAATTCCGATATCTATTTCAGTTTCGGTACCGGTACGTTTTGACACTAGTAACAAGACATGATCAGGAAACGAAACCCTGTCCTCTATCTTAAACTGAGCTAAGTCGTTAAACTTGGAGAAAACCGTAACGGAACCAATTTGGTATGCAGGCAACGAGGATAATCTGGAGAGTGCTACGACGTGATGAAACGCCGACGTGTGTCGTCGGAAAAGGAGATAAAAGAAAACAAAAAAACCTAAACAGTAAAAGAGAGATCTTACAAGAAGAAAATGGCGGAGAGGTAAAAGGTTTGTGGTTCTCGAAAACCGCTTCCGCTTCCGCCGTTGCTCCGGCGAGTCCATAACTAACTACTTATGTATGTAGTTGGGATTCGCTACCGGTGTGATCAAAGCGTTAGGATAAGGGTAGATCCGCCGATAGAGAATGGGGATGTTGTTGGTTTTACTGACGGAGAGTGTTCATTTGCTCCGCCGGTGTTTGTCGGAAGCGGTGTTGGGGCGGCAGTGGACGCGGTTGTGCAATGTGGATTCCCCGTTGGACAGCGTGGGGTTTTAAGAAATTCGAAAACAAGGGGATGAAAGGAATGTTTTAAGAAAGGGGTATATGACCATAATAAATACCAATTACCAAATTAAATACATTATGATTTGATAAATGAATATTTGGTTTATTTTGGTGTTAAAAAATAGAGTAAGCTACAAATTTGGTCCATATGGTTTGTTGGATGTAACACTTTTAGTCCTTACAATTTTAAAAATACAAAGATGGTTAGATGGTCATTGTAGTTTACAAAAGTGTTTTAATTTGGTTATTTCTTGTCAAATTATGGGTATTTTTAGAGTTTTTCGGTTTTTTATCGTTTTACTTCAGAAATAAAAAATAATTAACTAATATATATCACTTACTTTTTGGAATTGTATCCGGTTAGACCCCTACCTCATCACCCGGCCGGCAGGATTTGCACAGTTCCACATCTCAGATCATCAACTTCGAAGAAACGTCGATCATCGTATCATGTTCCAAATTGAAACCATAAACCCAAAATCTAAAACTATGGGATTGATTGTTTACCTCTTAATAATGTCATTAAGAGGTAGAGATCTCAACCACTCAGACAAAAGGTTGTTTGAAATATATTTTTTAATGGTTTGAACGGTTCACAAAGGTCTGATTCACTCTATCCCCTATCCCAGTCAGACTCCCCTTTTTCCCATGTTGTCGTTTTCTGCTCAAACTCTCGATTCTCTCCTTAAATGGATGTGTCACTCCATACTCTTCACCATTGATCTCCTCTGTTTATTCTTCGTACGCATGAGACACTTCACTCTTCACCATTGATATAGCACCAGACACAAAGATGGGAGTGCCATTATTCTCGATTTCTCCTAACTCTTCACCCCCTGCCTTTGTCGATTCAAAGAAGTAAAGACCATTTTTCCTCAAATCAGCATATGTGATTTTACTATTGTTCAAATGGGTTAGAATCTTGGCACTTGTGATTTTGCTATCTTGGTTCACTCTTCATTTTCTCCCCAACAATATGTGCATTATAAAACTTCATTTTATTCACACACACACACACACACACACACACATATATATATATATATATATATGTATGTATGTATGTATGTATGTATGTATACATTTTGTACTCCTCTAGTTGATTATGTTGGTTGGTATAAGCATTGCTTGAAATCTTGCCGGAACTCTGGCTATGATTCGATGGTGTTTGATTTTGACATGAATTTGTTTGAAGAACATGGTTGAATAACTTGTACACATGGATGATGCTCCAAAACTACACCCTCAACGCAACTCATCCTTTCATTATTTTTTACTAATACTAATGTAATGCTTGAAGCCCAAAGAGCATATCGACACAATAACCTTCAAATCGACTTTAAAACCATAGTAAAAGTTATTTGGTAGTAGACCACAACTTTAAATTTATAAGGAGCTCATAGATTCTACCTTTACATCCATGTGAGACGGGTTGTTGAACCTCACCCACTTAAAATCTTGGTGTCCACATTAAGCCTTCCAATCATCCTCTCCTTGTTAATCAGCGATGTGAATTTGCCTAATATGTTACAAACACCATCTTGAGAAACTCATCATGCTTGATGATGTTTGCCCACCATCCTGAGGGTACAAAGATCCACTCGTATACCATTTGTAATACCCACCAAGTCCAAAGTAGCAGATTCACTCAATAACCTACAAATCAACTTTAAAGTCATAGTGAAAATTATTAGAAGCACAGAATTGTACGTTTATAAGAGGTTGACAAATCCACCTTTCTATTCATGTTGGACACGTTACAAACTCCCCTACTTCAAATCTTAGCATCCTTGTCATGCCTTTCCAACATCATCTTCTTCTTCACTGAAGATACAGGATTCACCCAAGATGTTACAAATACCCCCTCTCAATGACTCATCAGGCTCGATGGGGTTTTCCCCACTATCCTTATGATACAAAGATCGGCTATAATACCATCGTAACACCACCCAAACTCAAAGCAGCAGGCTAGCCTGGAAACCTCCGAATCAACTTTAAAACCACATTAGAAGTTATTAGTAGCCCATAAACTCCAAATCTACTTTTCTATCCGTGTGAAATTAGTTGTTATAACTAACGAGATATATACCAACATCACTGATGAATTCATGCATGGAAATAAAATAAAAAAGAAGCTCCGGACGATTTTCATCGAAAATGACAAACATTAAGGACCAGTCTTGAAAATGTAGTAAAATATTTGTTATAGTATTGACCATTACTACACGTAAAGAAACTGTCCTCAATCATAACCAACCTAAAAAGAGAAGAAAACGTCAATTGCAATAATGGATGACATCATCCTACTTTGACATAAGTGCCCCTAAATCATACCGTTTGCTATGGCTCAATTGCTGGGTGTTAACAATCAATTGAATAACACATAAAGAGATGAGAGTATCGAATTTTAAGTTAACTGAATCGAAAAATAAGTTTGACATTGTTTTTATTTGGATTTAGGATATGCTTGAAAAATTAGTTGATGTTCGATGTTGATAAGCTAATTAATAGCTTAGAAGCTTGTTTGTAAATAAATTATGTTTGATAAAAACTAGCTGATAAGTTAAATTGCAAATAACATCTTGAAATACTAGTTAATAATATAATTAAAAAAATTCCTAATAATATATGTTAATTAATACAAACAAGATGTTAAAAAAATTAAATAATGTGATAATTAAAAGAATTACAAATTTATTATT